ATTCTTTTTAGTTTATGATCATTCACAATGTTTAAAAACACAATTAAGATTAATAGAATATCTTAGCAACAGCTTGCGTTAGTCAGTTGTATCCATAGAGAAAGCCTAATATTTAGCTTATAAAACAATTCTAAACAAACAAACTCTTGATTTCTAACCACAATTTCTCTTGGCGGAAGATAATCAAAGGCCAAAATGACATTTCTCGTAAATTTTGAAGTATAATTAGTGGACAAGTTAAAAATTTGATAACTTTTTCTACTAATTGAAAATGTTTACCACAAATTTTGACGTTCTGAATGCTTAGATTGAAGTTAAAGGAAGAAACTTCTACGCTAATTGAAACTACTACCCATACAGTACATCAAATCACATTTACGATGTGTTTACATTATTAGATGTAGTACAGGGTGACACAATTCCCCCGATGTAAATATGCTCCGTTTACACATTGTAGTTCAACACGTATGCACAAAGGTTAAACGTCCGCCTCACAATGTAGCCACAGTATAGCATTTACGTATACACAAAGTAAGAGATACACAGTGTGCCGTAGGATACACAGTGCTTGTGAATTACGTTTAAACTATGTTTACACATTGCAGTTGTGACTACCGCGTGTATACGTATGTATTTTGCTTCGTATATACATCTTGTGCTAGATAAATACTTCTTATGAACGAATTTAGGAAATAATACAAGTTTTGATGCCTAACTTTTCGTTTTTTTTTAAGAAATATTTATTCAATGATACCAATTATATCTTTTTAGAACGAAAATTACGAAGGCAAAACTTTGTATTTTCCAAAAGTATCTCGATTGTAAGTTCAAGAGAAGTAGCCTTAAAATTGTTCCATTTTCGTTTTGTATTAAATGTACCATTTTTCTTCCATAAAATGGATTAAGTGGTTAAAAAATAAAATTCTTATATTATTTCTTTATATCATGGAACGCAATAGCGCAAATAACACAATAACAATAATTATTTACACTGCAGAAACCAGAAGTAAGAAAACACTGTAAAAGAACAGAATTTGTATCAAAATGTATTAAAAATATAAGTACCTAGTATAACAACATACTAAAATGGTAAACACTGGTATATCGCCACGATTTGGTGGACCTCGTTTAGTCATTTTTTTCTCTTCTTTTCCCTCCAAGCAGTTGGTTTATTAGCATACTCATTCATCGAGCACTCTGTTGGACTTTGTTGTATTTTATTTCCAGATTAACAATCTCACCCTTAAATTTTATATGAAACTGATTATTGAATATTAAACATATCTGTATATTGATCCATCAATAACTGACCGAATATCAGTGTAAGAAGTTCTTTGAAGTGTTTAAATCTTTCTTTCTCTGGTCCATTTAGATTTTTATTATTTCCAAATTTAAAAAAAATTATATTGCAGAGCTAACTCAGCTAACCCCTTTATCATTATACGAGAATATTTGGAGTTTTCATTCATTGAAGTCAAAATTTGGTAAATTGGGTATCGAGTAAGGGAAGAGTCGCTGCTATAATATTAATAATACTCTTAGGAAGGTGTAACAAGGTAATTAAAAACTTGTACTTACCTTAAAATCTCTTTTAAACTACACAAAAACAGAACATTTATATAGAGCTTAGAATGATAAAACAGTAATGGCTGCTAAACACATACCATGCACTCCTAGAAAGGAGAAAGGAGAGAAGACACGTAAGATACGCTAGGTCGGTGTGTCTACGGTGAGGCTATCCGCGCATGCGCACACCTTCATTTCATGCTAGAATGTAGACACAACAGTACACTATTACAAAGTGTCTATATAGATATTTATATTATGTGTATACGTCACATTTTTACAAGGTGTGTACTATAGGCACAACTATGATACGAAGTATCACACACACATATGACTTATACATTGTATGTCTCATATACCGACGTCAGATTTCATCATTTTAATAATTATTTGTTACGTTACAAAAAACTCTTTAGAATCTTGAGTGCATACTGGATACAACTAGTAAGCACTGTATCGCACAATTCTATCAATATAAACCTGCGTGTATCTCATGTGTATGTTAGAACTAGATGAACACTTAGGTTCACTTTAACATATGTTGTTTCTCATGTGTCTCCCTTGTAGAAACGTAATTTCATTTGGACGTGCTATATGGGTAATTTATTCCACTAATTGCGAGGTTCTGAATGAAGCTTAATGCCAGATCTGTCCTGTACAGGTTAATAATTCATAGTCAGCAGCACATAAGCCAGACGCATAGTGTGGAAAATCTGAAGCAAATCGACGTGCTAAAAGCAGACAGACGAAGTGATGAGAATACCAATAAATACAAAAGAGATAAGGGATAACTTCAACATTAAATTTAAAATAAATAGAGCAGGTCGGGAAGAGTAAAAAACGGTGTTCAAGCCTGGTGGTATACAGATGGATTAACAACGTCAGAAAATGTAGCCATTCCCCGTAATCCTATCCAAGGATATCACAACGTTTCAAGCGAAAATAATAGCAATTCATTATTGCCTGGAAGAAATACTACAGATAGCTAAGCCAGTGCCAAAGGTAAACGATTACACAGAACTCAATTCCAGGCTAATATAGGATTATGTATGTGCTCTAAATTGATAGAGAGAACGTAGCAATGATACATCAGTCTATATAGGTACAAGGGCATGGCGTCAAGTTTATGTAGAATGTATGAGAGGGGGGTAAAACACCACGACCTTACAGATCTATTGTGCGTCCCCCTTTCTCGAGTTATAACCCATCATCTCTGGGCTTTGACAAAAGCCAGTATCTGAGACGGCTTCACAGAGGCCAGCTCTCCATCTCCGACATCAGCCGCACTAAAGTTAATGGCACGGATAAGGAGTTAATGGTAGTGATAAGGTGTTCTGATGTTTTTCCATTTTCCCCCACACAATCTGTATTCGCCGTTCTTAGTTTCAATCTACTGAGATGTTCATTGAGAAAAGTTCATAGTAGAAATTGCTAAAATTTACGGCAGACTTGATAAGCAAAGACAGAAAAGTTATTCAAACTGTAATGGGTTAGCTAACAGCTCAATATGCATCTGAAATGTAATTGCCGGACGAAGCAATGTGCAGATTTTGTTAGAAGAAGAACTGGCAGAACATATTTTATGTTAGTGCGATAGTCTGCCAAATGTACGGTTCTTTATTAATATATGGAGGGTTCAGTATCCGAGTTAATAGACTTTTTGAAATGGATAAGACTGGAGATGATGAATTGTAACCTAGAGATCAGAAAAGAACTCCCTTGCACTCCTGCTCCTGCTCCCCTCACTAAAGGCTACAGACACTGTCCGACCGCTTCGGATACTCATTGAAAGCCACCGTGAAATCACCACCGTGTAATCAACCGGACACAAAGCGTTATCGTCATGTTCCACATCAACTGTCAGTTCCTCGTCGTCATCCTCCGACCGAACGTCATCCGTATCGTGCAAATCGTCCGGTATCCGAGCGTAAGATTCCCTTTGCGGATAGGTAACTGCAGCGCGCTTCATCGTTAACTTTGCCATGTTGTCCCGCGAGCCTCAGGACCTGCTTAGGTGATGCGAGAGCACTGTTTTTAAATTTATTTTGATTAGGTATCATGCTTTTTATATGATAAAGTATATCTAGTTTTTACGGATTATGGCTTAGGGCGTTCATGTTTCTAATTTGGAATATTACATATACATGACAAATTTTGAATAGTCCAAATTATGTTCATCTTGTTCTTCTACTTTTCCATTCTATGTATGTATAGTCTGTTGAACCAGAAGATCCATGACAGTGAAGGTTGTGTCTGTTATTTTAATTCACAGGTAAATGTTGTTTTCTGGCATTTTTGCACAGATGTCATCTGTGAAAATTTGGCCTGGCTCATTCGACAGACTTGTATATTTCTATATATGTTTACAGTAAATTAAGCAAATTGGAATTCCACAGAAGAAGTCGCTTCAGGATTTGGTCTAAATAAACAGCCGGAAGATCAGAAGAATGTATGTTTTTCTTTCTACGGTGGTCTACTACTTTCTTTCTTTCCACCGGTGACTACTTTTTACGGATTATGGCTTAGGGCGTTCATGTTTCTAATTTGGAATACTACTAGATGAAATTTTGAATAGTTCAAATTATGTTCGTCTTGTTCTTCTCCTTTTCCATTCTATGTATGTATAGTCTATTGAACGAGAAGATCCATGAGAGTGAAGGTTGTGTCTGATATTTTAATTCACCGGTAAATGTCACTTTCTGGCATTTTTTAGATGTCATCTGTGAAAATTTGGCCTGGCTCATTCGACAGACTTGTATATTTCTATATATATTTTTTTTCTATTATATTTCTTCGGCATGTACTGTAGCTCAAACGATTTGATGGATTTCAACATATAAAGTGATGTTAGATTTGTCTTAAATGTAGTGGTAATATACAGTAAATTAAGCAAATTGGAATTCCACAGAAGAAGTCGCTTCAGGATTTGATCTAAATAAATAGCCGGAAGATCAGAAGGATGTATGTTTTTTTCTACGATAAAAATACTGAAAAATTGTAGTTTTTTAGTAGCTCATATCGTGAGTGCACTATAACTGTGCCAAATATGACGGTTAATGTAAATAATCTGCCTATTTTTCTCTCAATAAATAATTGCTTACTATTTTAACGATGCTTCGTTTACCTATATTTTTAATACAAAACATATGCTGTTATTTGGGTATATTCTAAATTGGGTAGTATTAAATATTAACTGCATATTATGTAGATAGAGATTTTTGTCATTTTTTCTGACATGAATGAAAAAATCCTTTTAAATACTTCGAAATTCTTGTACGGCAAAGTACATATTATGTAGATCTAAGACAAGTTATTTATAAATATCTTTTTTTCCCTAAAATATCTTTTTTTTAATTCTTTGTTTTATTTGTAGTTTTATAGGACTACTTAATTATTGCACTACAAAAACTACGAATATCAAAACAGATACCAACCTGTCTCACTGCCATCAAAATCCGGCGAATCCCTAGACGTTTCCAGCGGCTTCCAACAGCACAGCCTGTCACCGAACATCGCCTGCCTTCCTGTGAACTTGTTCGGATCTAAAATATTCTCCACCGAGAACGCTAGCCGTCGGTTCTGGTGTGGTACCACCGACGGACTGTGGTCCCTCGGACTCCTGCTCCTGCTCCCCTCACTACAGACACTGTCCGACCGCTTCAAATCCTCATTGAAAGCCACCGTGAAATCACCACCGGGTTCCGGGAATTTTTCCCTACGCGTCAAGTCAACCGGACACAAAGCGTTATCGTCATGCTCTACATCAACTGTCAGTTCCTCGTCGTCATCCTCCGACCGAACGTCATCCGTATCGTGTAAATCGTCCGGTATCCGAGCGTATGGTTCTTTTTGCGGACAGGTAACTGCAGCGCGCTCCATCGTTAACATTGTCATCTTGTCCCGCGAGCCTCAGGACATGCTTAAGCGCGATGCGAGAGCACTGATCGCCGGACGAGATCTGGTACGGAGATTCGGGCGGATCGGGAAGCTGCGCCGCGCCAAAACCGTCCCTATTGGACGGAAGCTGCATCGGAAAGGAGCCCTATTGGTCGGGGTGGTTAAAAGGGGGCGGCGCGAGTTCGAGGTTCGCTCCCTAATTACGAATATGATTCGTAATAAGCGAGGGGAAATTAACCGGTCGCGATTTCGGACAACAAAGGCACTTATTCAGCGGCGGCGGTGAAAGCGCACCGCCGGTCGTCGTTTAATTAGCGTGAGCGGGGGGATGCCGCCCCCTTGCAAAGCGACTAATCGGCCCCCCGGCGGCGGTGTCTTGGCCGTAAAGCGGGATAGAAATGGAAAATGAGAGGCCGATATAGTTCGGTGTGGAAAGCTTTTAATTACAGCAGGGGGAGAAGGGATGGGTTTGACATGTTTTGGGATAGCTGTGATATCGAGCGTGTGTAATTATAATAACAATAATATTAGCCTAATTAGTGGAGATATCGGTAATTTATCCCGCCTCGACTGTCGGCGTTAATGACGTCTCTATCTTTGTGGTGGATTGATGACCTACTGTATATAATTTCCTGGTCTTGATGTCACTCAAACAAAACAGTTCATTTGGGGTTTATTATTGCAGATTTGCTATCTTCTGTTAGATTAAAGATCGGGTATTTTATTCAAAAATAACAGTTTGCTAAAAATAGCTGGTTGTTTTCCAAAAATAGCAGAGGAGTAACAGCTTTGATAAAAGCCATGATCTGAGTCGGTTTACAGAGGTTAGTTCTTCATCTCCGATATCAGTTGTACCAAAGTGAATGGCACGAATGGTTGTCGTCTCGGCGCACTCAGTAATGAGGTGTTCTGGTGTTTCCTCATTTTCTCCAGAGAATCTGCATTTGCCGTTCTTTCTGAGCTTCAATCTACAGAGGTGTTCATTTAGGGGTCAGTGTCCTGTTAAGAATCCTGTGACAATCCGAAAATTGATCTTACTTAAATCAAGGAAAATCTTTCATTTTTCTCGGTTGTAAGTTCTGAGAAATTTCTTTGAGTATCTTAGACCGTTGGAGGATTACAATTCCAGGTTACGGATGGAGTTTTCCAGGGTCTTGAGTTCCGCTTTAAGTTGATTTCCACTTGGGAAGCAGAACAGTTCTAGTCCAGTTAGTAATAGGGTGTTTGCTCCTTTTTTAAGCTCGATCTTTTGCTTTTTCATTACCATCTATCCCTTGGTGAGCTGGCACTTGAGGCACTTAAAGTACACTATAATCGAATAGTATGTTTGACGGTTTTTAATAATCAATAATTGAAAGCGCATATTGAAGTAGCATCATAGCATAAGGAAACTAGTTGCTTTACTTCTTGCCAAATCCTTTGTTCTTTTTCTGCCACTTTATATAGGGTGAGTTTCCTACGATGTTCTCTATGGGTATCTCGGAAACTACTGGAGATAGAGAGTCAGTTAAATAGGGAAAGAATGGGTTCATAAATAAGCGCCTTTCAGATTTTTGAAAAAGTTCATGACTTACTAGATATTTCGAAAAAAACAAATTTTGGCTATTTTAAAAATTGTCCCCAATTCCATTATAATATATTTTAGACAAAAAGTTTTCAGATAAAAGTTGTAGATATTCACATCCCTAATGAGATTGTGTTCTTCGATTTTTTCTAAAGCCTGTCATTTTTGACATATGACACAAACATATGTTTTTTTAAATAGAAACCATAGTTGGCCATGACTTCATAAACAGCGTCATTTTTTAAGCTTTTCAGCGATATAAGCTATAATATGTTTCTTTCACAAAATTACTGAGTTATGGCCAATTCTTATCTTTCTTGACTAATTTCACTTAGTTAGCCATGGAAACAAGTTCAATCGTCGTTGCTCTCAGAAATATGAAATTAATTTCAATCTTTGTGAATTCAATCTTTGTGAACCGTATTCAATCTTTGTGAATTAAAATAAACAAAAATTGTAAATAAGAGTTTTTCAAATGAAGAAAAGCGTGTAGGATTATTGGTTCAACTTTTCTTGGTCATACAGTTTCGAGGATACGTTGACCGGTGAACGTTACTTACGTTTTGTAGAGAAAGGTTTTCAAGACATGTTAGAAAAGTTAAATTTATTAATACTCGCCCATTAATAGAGTGGTTCCAACATGACTTTCATTATGACACACCAACCCCAATCCCCCCCCCCCCACAAACACAATGAAAGAAATGTTAAAAATTATTTATATCATAATTATCTAGACTCAGGAATAGAAAGAGGTGGACCAAATTGCATGGGTCTCCTCGGTCACTTGACCTATCCATTTTAGATTTTTTTATGCCGTATGGTTAACAACCAGGTTTACAGAAGAACTTATGAATTAAGAGAGGCACTCGAAGAGGCGGAACAGGAGAAGTTTAATTAAGTCGACCGGTCGTTCTGTGAGAATAGCTAGAAATTCAGTTTTAAAAAGATGCATTTATGTACTCAAAACAATTGCGGATTTTTTGAAAATTCTCTAAAATAACCTTATAATATAGATTAATAATATATTTTGTCTTTTTATAAGTAATAAATCATAACAAAAATTAGAACATCATTGAAAGTAAGTGAAGTATCCTTGAAACTGTATGGCCAAAAAAAGTTGAACCAATAATCCTACACGTTTTTCTTCATTTGAAAAACTCTTATTTACAATTTTTGTTTATTTTAATTCAAAAAGATTGAATGTGACAATTTCATATTTCTGAGAGCAACGACGATTGAACTTGTTTCCATGGCTAACTAAGTGAAATTAGTCAAGAAAGATAAGAATTGGCTATAACTCAGTAATTTTGTGAAAGAAACATATTATAGGTTATATCGCTAAAAAGCTTAAAAAATGGCGCTTTTTATGAAGTCATGGCCAACTATGGTTTCCATTTAAAAAAAACATATGTTTGTGTCATATATCAAAAATGACAGGCTTTAGAAAAAATCGGAGAACACAAACTCATTAAGAATGTGATTATCTACAACTTTTATCTGAACACTTTTTGTCTAAAATAGATTATAATGGAATTAGGGACAATTTTTAAAATAGCCAAAATTTGTTTTTTCCGAAATATCTAGTAAGCCATGAACTTTTTCAAAAATCTGAAAGGCGCATATTTATGACCCCAAAAACTGCAATTCTTTCCCCATTTAACCCACTCTATCTCCAGTAGTTTCCGAGTTGCCCATAGAGAACATCGTAGGAAACTCACCCTGTATGACCTTGTTCTCGTGTCCCGTGACCAAGGACGTAGCTATATAGTCGTGGTCTATAACTAGGCAAAGTATAGCCGTGGCACTCGCCATAGTTTCACAGAGATGTATTTAGGAAAATATGAGTTCACAATAAAATAAAATAAAAAAAATGATCGAGTAAAAATTTGCTTGAAAACAGAATATTTTCACATTTCGTCTAAGTAACAATTCTTTTGTATCTGAAAATCTTTTAATGGGAAAAAATGCGGAAAAAATATATAATGACATATTTTTATATTATTAACATATTTGAGTTCCGCTTTAAGTTGATTTCCACTTGGGAAGCAGAACAGTTCTAAAAAAAATCCATTTCAGAGATTTTCTACCACTTTTTTTTAATTTAAAACAAGTTTAATTTTAACACTAATCACATCTCTTCAGTAATGACTAATTATTAACATTATTAGTACGCAAGCGTTGTGTGTCCCGTGGGAGAGTTAATGAAGGGAAGGTACTAGTGGTACTAATCGTCAATGTTTAGTGGCAAACAAGTCCTTGGAGATAAGTTACCTCCACTAGAGGTTCCCTTGAACCCGCAATTAAGAAAGCTAACCTTCAAGCCTTTGTGTGGTCAAAAGATGATGAACCAAATGTACGGCTGGTATTTGGAAGAGGGAGTGCTTACCTCTGTAAGGTTAGTGGCGTGTGAAGAACCATGTGCTCCAGAGTCTCTTCTTCAACTGATTAGATTTTCGTGTCTTAAAAATCGATGTTTAACTCCGTGTAAATATTTAGCAAACAATATACCTTGCACAAAAAAGTGTAGTTGTAATGCGGACCAATCAACTTGTGATAATTTGCATCTGCCTGATTTTGCCGACGAAGGTAGTGATGAAGTTGATAGTGATGACGCCTATTTGTAATTTTATTAATATATATGTGCAAATGTATCACTTAATTTTTTTTAAATACATGAACTCATATAACGTAGACCATATTTTATTTTGGTAAAAATAATATAACACAATAATATTTTTCAATTTTTTTCACTTTAAATCCAACCAGCAACCAAAATATTATTTTTTCCCAATACTTTCAAGAATTAATTGTTTTCCTCTTTACATTACTTTTCTAACAAGCTAAAAAAATTGAAATCGATTAAATAGCGGCGACGATAGCGCACATTATCTATATTGCTATGACGGCCATTTTGTTTAACGCACTCCAAACAAACGCAACATCTGTGACGGTGTCACTATAAAAATTGATGGAATACATATTTTTTCTGATAAAACAACTCCACTGGCACCTTCATGAAGTTTCCCACGGGAAGCTATTTTTATACGTTGTGCTCCCCAACTATATAGGAACTTCAAAAGAACTTCAGAAGCAAGATAAATAAGAAATCACTTCTTATTTAGAAGAGTTTGATTTTGACTGCTAGAAAGTACCAATGGACTTCCGCATGTAACAAAAAATATTTTTAAAAAATGTCTATATCTATACGGCGGATTCATCTTTCCAAAAAAATCCTGTATGGGTATTATTTAACAGAACGTCAACGGTTTCTTGTAGACGTATCTGTTTTAAAAAAGTAAAGTGTTCTCGAATAGTTGAATTTAAATATTTTAAATAGTTTTTTTCTTTATTCCTTGTATTTTTTTGCTTTCGACGACGGAAAGAGATAACTTTCCGAAACGTTAAGCATTTTTTTTTGCTTTGTTAGGC